TCTGTTACAAAGAGTTGCTTCTGTTGATCTTTTCTCAACAGACGTGACTCTTTATAGTGTCTATTAATTTAATTTTCAACAGACACAACCCTTCTTTTCGATATGAAATTATATTTATTTGAAAATATTCAACATATATAATGATAAATTAATTAAAAATTAAGAAATAACGGCTATTACCATCTTGATTCTGTTGATGGATGAAAATATCTATGTTATAAACATGTCAGAAATTTCTGAATATGGAATATGTCCTGCTAGTGATGATTCTTTTTCCCTTTAAAGAGCCAATGTTTTTATGTAAACAGGAAAATGAAGTTATCTTTGATACGCACGTATTTCTAGGACCACAAAATTATAAAAAAAAAATTTAAATATCAATGTTAACATATAATTACCGTAATTTAATAGTATCATAATCTTATTGGTTTAGTCTATACCATGTACAATTATACAGATACATACTATGAAGTTAGGAACAGTTTACATGGTATAATATAATTTTCTTGTGAAATCACATGGCAAGTCTTAATTGTTTCCATGACCAGCACATACTTGATGCACCAATTTATGAATTGGATTTACCATGCATAAAGGTCAAAACTGCAAAATGGTAAAATCCTTTGACCCATAGTGTTCCAAATTATTTGGGATTTAATCATGGATCGAGATACTAATTTTATGAATCAAGAATTGAATCCATTTATATAGATTGAATATATTATTTTAATGATTTAAACAAGAATTTCAAGATTTGACAAATAACATCTAGCTACCAATATTATTGGTTTCAATTCTTTATTCTTTATTTGGTTTTAATTCTTCTAACCCCTCGTTGGGGTTGATATAATTCAAAAGAGGCTCAAATGGACTAAAAATTATATTAAATTAACATAAAGTACTTAGATCATATTTATATTCCACACCCGCATGCAAACAACTTTAAGACGACTTTAATAGTTTAAAGTTGGAAAAACCCCTAATTGACGCTAACAATTGATTGTTTCAAATACAAGTTCAAATTGGCAAAAGTATTATTTTTTAAAAGACTAGTAAATTCAATGTTTTATATTTGTTATGGTACTACGGCCAACACAATTTTTTTTGTTTTTCCTTTCAGTCAATTGATTATCAAATAGTGAAATTAGTTACATGGTCAATCCTACAAATAAGTTGGAAATATGAAAGAAAGAAAACCATAATTTATTGGAACAAAGAGTAGAAGGCCCCATATGTATAGCAAGAAAGTAACCTGTCCATGCATGAAGTTCAATGATCATGATAGAGTAAGAGTATGCATGATAAAATCAAAGCATTGACTTAATAAAATTTTGACGAGAATCGGAAGAATAATTAATCTTTGACCCCCTTCCGTCCTGGTTTTTAAATGTTTGTTTCTCTTTGACTTTGATGAAAGTAGAGCATTAATCAATCCAATGGATTCTTAATTACCATTTACCAAGTAAAGTATAGCAAGGAAAGCTAAACAGAAACCGAACGAAAAGTGGTCGGTGACAGCGCGGGTACATGGAAATTGGAGGGAGGTATCGAAGGGGGAAGGGGGGAGGCTCAGCCAATCCGTAGAGCCGCAGAGAGCAGAGCAGTCAAAAGGTCAAGGGTCAACCTAGGGAAGAGCAGCCCGCCTATTAAGACAGGGAAACTTTTGTTTGTGTTCACAATCAGAGAACTAACGTTAGAAACAGAGGATATGTTTTTGTATTATAAAGAAGATAAAGAAAAGAACTAGCATCCATGAAGTGGGCTCCCCGATGCTTTAACAACAGGGAGAAACTGACCAGAGAAAGAGGCCCGGATCCCCCGGACTTTTTCTGGGAGATTTCCTTCCCACTCGCATTTGTATTTTGTCCATTCTTACAGCTATGGGGATTGATGGGTAGTGGTAGTAGTATAAATAAGAGCTCTACATCTTTACCTCAAAAGGCCTTTAATCCCCCCTCAAAAAAAAAATCACCAGTCTTTGGCTTGTGTCTGGCTCTGTACGTGTGATGCATATTTCTCCGTCAGTCTATCTATAATTTCATAGGGAATTCTCCCAAAAGAATATTTGGGTTTGCATTAATTTGTGTGGCTGGGGAGAACGAGGAAGGGGGGTAAGATAGCTAGTCAGAGAGATGAAGAGCAGCGGAGGTGAGGCTTCGAAACCTGATAGGAAAACCATCGAGAGGAACCGCAGAATTCACATGAAAGCTTTGTGCTTTAAGCTTGCCTCTCTTATTCCCCATCAGCGCTTCAAACCCTCCGAGGTATATATATGTATATATATAGAGTTATTAATTCTCTCCCTTCCTTCCTTCTTTCTTTCTCATGAGTACTTCACCCATTTCTGGGTTGGTTTCTGAAACTTTTTGCTCAAGAGCTTGGAGCTTTGAACATTCCCGAAGCATATATATTATTGGGAATGATCATTGAAATCAATATAATTTGGCTAATTATTTCTCTCTCTAATGATTGGAGAAAAACCTTTCCAATCATTAATTTTCAATCCTCCCCATGGTCCTTGATTCATGTTTTCACCTGTCAGCCTATGCATGTTAATGTTGAAAATCTCTCAATCTTTTCATAAATTTCCAGCATCTATCCTTACCTCCATCATTTCATGATGTTTTTTGCTAGCTAGCCACTCTCTTAACTATAAAACCAAAGAAGTGGGAGATGAGCATAAGGAAAATATAGCAACGTTATCCATACCAGGGAATGGCTGTCTTTTATGGGCAAAAACCAATGTTTGATAACATTATGGACACCCTTTTCTTCCAAAGATCCTTGGCTATCAAGTAATTATTTCATTTATGTCCTTTTTGTGGGTATTCGTGACCATGACCTTAAGCAAAAAAATATAGCAATGTTGTCCATACCAGGGAATGGCTGTTTTTATGAACAACTTAAAACCGATGTTTGATAACACTATGGACACCCTTCCAAGATCTTTCGCTCTCAAGTAGTTATTTCATTTATGTCCTTTGTGGGCTTTCGTAGCCATGTTATGATAACTCTTTTTGAAGTTTTTATTAAGAAAGAGATAAAATAAAAGATAAACTAGTATCGTTGTATTCATAGATTTTTTTTGAAATATATTTTCTCTTAATTTATTTTCACGGTTCATCGTTGTCATTGAAATCTCTGACTTCACATTTGATCGCATTTTAATGGAGATTAACTCACCACAAGACGGGTTGACAAAACATGTAACTTCTCTATTTTATCTGAATAAAAATATATTGTCTCAAACCTAGGTTAATTTTTTTATTATTATCTAGAAGCATATGGTGCTATATGTATACATACTAATATTTTACTTCTTATAATTTGGGATTCTCAGGAAATTGTTTCGCAAACGGATCAGCTTGATCTTGCAGTTGCCTATATAAAGCATTTGAGAGAAAGGATAGAGAAATTGAGAGTGATCAAAGAACAAATGATGAAGTCAGTTGAAGCAAGCAGCAACATCATGAATAAGAATGCATCAGTTGGTTTAGGTGTGCCTGTGGTTGCACTAAGAGACTTGGGTTCTAGCATAGAAGTGATGTTGATAAGTGGGTTGAATAAAAACTTCATGTTATATGAAGTTATTGGCATTCTTGAGCAAGAAGGAGCTGAAGTTGTGAGCGCTAGCTTTTCCACAGTGGGAGGCAAGATTTTCCACACTCTTCATGCTCAGGTGAGTATCAACTTGTACTCTTTTCTTGTCTTTTCTAATTTGAAAAAGGCAACGGGCAGAGAACGAATACATTAATCACTGGATCAAATGTTCAATTCAATTTCAGGTTAAAATTTCAAGAGTTGGTGTAGATACTTCAAGGGTTTGTCAGAGATTGCAAGAACTGGTTAGCTATTACCGATGAAGATGGGGTTTAAGAAGCAACTGCATCGATCATCAAGCATGCAGACATCTGCTTAATAAAGAAAATATAGATATGAAGCCACTAAAATATATATAGCACCTCTACAGATTAAGAGTTATGTATCCGGGTAAGAACAAGAATTTCAATTGCTAATTAAGGAGAAGAGCCAAGAGAGTAGAAAGCAGCAATTTTCAGCGAAAAAATTAAAGGATAGGACCATTTCCAAGCTGGATGCAAACTTCCCAATCCCGCCGATGGGTTTTTCTTTCACTCTGTTTGTATTTTTGGCCTGCCCGGCTATGGCTTTCCATGCACAGGAATTATCATTGGTAAATCATATTAGTAGCTATAGTTTCTTGATAATTTAATGTCTGTTTTAATATAAATGATGATAATTAATCCCCTCTTCATCTTACTTCTAGTTTTATTATTATTATTATTATGCAATGATTTATATTAAACTTTGTTCGAAAAAAAGGGGCATCGATATAAAAAAAACATTAAATTTAAATTTTTTATTACTATATTATATAAATTATTAATTTTTTAAAAGTTAAGTGGAATGAATTGACCTTACTCAATATTGTAAAATTTTCAACGAAAACATAGCATGAAAGAAGATTTAATTTATATGATGAAAAGTATGTAGAAATTTGGACAGTTTCTTTGTCTAATCATCTCTTGGTCAAAAAAAATCTAAATTATGTAGATAGTACCATTATTACTCAGATGAAAAATTGAAGGATGGTTCATGCATCAAATCAAAAATCACATAGGGAATCAGATGCATGCATCATAATCAAAAACTAATTACAGCCCAAAATGAAATTTAGTCATCTCTTTTTATTTATAATTATTTTGGTCTTGTCTGCTTTATTTCTCTAATGATAAATACATACAAATGTTACAAAATTTATCTCAGTAAAAAATGAATGAGTTTTCGGTTTATAAAGAAAAGTCTTCAGTTATCTAATAAATATATTTTTTCAATTAAAAATATAAATTCGTGATAAATAATATTAAAATAGATTTAAATTTTAAAATGTGAGACCTCATGATAAATACCAAAGTCAAAAAATATATCCAAACCACGATAGGTGAAAGATTTTCCAAATCTTCTGTTTATTAGATATTAAATGTGAAAAGCTTATTAGCCAACTCATTGGTTGTAGGAGCCATGTGAAAGATTTCCCATTTTTCCCATATATAGGAAAGCATATAGATTATTCTTTTGGTACCCATTGAAAAAAGATTAGTTATATTATAACATCCAAATCTTGCTTGACTTAAATTTTAATTGACTCATTGACTTCAAAAAATTAATGATGCGTAATTTCAAAACACTTGCTAAAGAAAGTCAGTTTATCCCCACTCACAAACTCAAACCAATCTGTTTGTTCAAAGAATCTATACCTCTATCTACCTTCATTAATCTTAATATTTTATTGAAAAGGCCAAAAGGGTTATAATATTAATAAAAGATAAGTACAAAGAATCTTACTAAAGAATATAAATCAAAATAAATTAAATAAAAGAAAACCTACCCCATTCGCTGCATCAGTGAGAAGAAGCATCCTTGAGCTACCTTCACCAATTTTTAATATTTATACATATAGTAAAAGAATTACATAATAATAATTAAGCCTGCGACGAAAGTTAGAAGATCGAAATAAAAATTAAATCGAATTCCTTTTTTTTTATTTGAAAAATTGATTGTAATGCGGAAATTTTTTTTTAAAATAATAAAGATTAACCAAGAAAACAGCATGAGTTTAAAATATAGGTTGAACTTGTCAGAGTTTGTTGAGCAAAATCATCGTATCTATGTTTACTTCTTCATGGTCATGGATATATAATATATAATATAATATAATATAATATAATAATATATTACACGTGCGGATATGCTTTCTTCTTCATTACTAGGTTAATTCCTAAAAGCTAGCAACTTGGAATAAAAAAAGAGAAAGAAATTGGACTCATTTCATTTGGTGATGGTCAAGCATTCACAAAGAATTTCTCCTCTACAATCATAAAATTCTTAAACTACCCTTTATTGCTCGATTTTTAAATATAATTATATTCATTTTCGATTGGACAATCGGACCGAGGGCACGTAAGTCCTAAACCTACTTTTTAATTTATTATTAAAAAATTTTATCCGCGTGTTATTACGAAACAATTAACATTAACTAAATTTATTTTTTGGTTTGTATTAATTATGTTATTGTTGATATACTCAACTAAGTTTTACAACAGATTACTTTTGTATATAATTAATAGAATGGAATACATATATAAGATAAAATATTAAATTAGTATTTAAGTATTCTATTTAATGATAAGTGTAGTTATCTGATTTGAAAACCTTATGAAAATTATACCTAATAAAAAAAATAAAATTACGCATGAATATAATTTTCATGCATTACATTATTTCTGGTAAGATAACTTTAGGAAAACATTTAAATGTATTTAATCTTATTTTATTCTATTTAATCAAGTATATAACTTCTATGTTAAATATTTTCCACTTTCGTTTCTTTCTTTTTTTTTATGAAATTATAAAAACAATTAGTGTCAAGGGAAGGTTTCTTTTGTTAAATTTTCTGTATAATTAATTTATATTAATTAAAAAATTACCATAATTCTTTATATATGATTTAAGAGTGAAAATAATATTAATCAAAATAACGGTTGGGATTCAATGCATTAAGATCAAGAGAGGGGACCTAGTTATATATATATATATTGAATCCTTAATCCCACTCATACGAAGTTTTAAACTCATTTTTAATATCGGAATAGAACCCACTTTAATATTATCTCTTTATGAAGAACAAATTAACCTAATCTTGATTTTGATAAAATACAAAATATAAATAATGTAAATCCACACTTTGATTTTTCAAGAAAATCTAACACTTTTTGCTTGTCAAAATCGTGGAGGCTGCTAAAAAACTCAGTTCCTTGCAGCTTTGAACTTAGGATATTTTTGGCTGGAAAATTGACAGGTTTTTGCAACTCAAGGAATCAAGCTCAGCCTCCTGGACCATCAACGTCCCTTCAGCCTCCAGGTTTTGCACATGTAAAAAATAAAACAATTTCTCTCAAAATACCAAAGGGAAACGTCAATGCCAAGATGATTTCAGCTAATTCGGTTGAATTGGGATATTTAAATATAATATCTTAGAAGAGAATTTTTAACATGTTTTAAATAAGAATCCCATCGCAGAATTATTTATATATATATATATATGCTTAACTTATTTATTTTATTAGCAAATAATAAGAAAGAGCTGAGCTTTGAAAATTCCCGGTGCATGACGTGTATAAATCTGCTTGTTTTCTTGCTTTTGTTTCCTTTTTAAAATGATATTGAATTAAGACATAAATAAATAAAATTTATATTCGATTAATTGTCAGTGTCTAAATTTTGTACACAACTACTTAACCATAAAGTGTAGCTTCATAAATCTGCAAAGGTTAAAGTTCAAAAATCTTTTAAAATAATTTTTTTAAAAACTAAGAATTTTTAACATTAGGTTATATAATGAAAATGTATGCACAGATAATTTATCAAAATGTAAATTCCAATTTCAATTAGTATAATCATGCTGAAATCCATTAGTCTAGTCTTGAATTCCTCTTTGCAAGTCTTTTTACTTTATTTAATTAAAGGTAAATCGATGGAATTAAAATTTGCTTGTAATTGGATTAAATTAAATATGCTAGAATCAAATAAAAAAAAATCAAATTCATAGTAAAAAGTCATAGCCTACCATGTGCATTGATTTCTTTTTTGGAAAAAACAAATATATAATTTTATTAATAAATTAAAAGGATGGAGAATCGATTCGTACAAATTTAAGAAATTAGTAAAAAAAGTCATACGAGTAAATAAAAAAAACACGTTTACAAAACTAGTGATGACCTCTCTTGAGCTGAATTACTCTTTCTATTAATCTGTCGATTATTGAATTAGATTTTTTAAATATGTGTTCAGAAGAATTTTCGTGAATTTTTATCTTGTAACTTTTGATGAGTTTGTAGATGAATTTCATTGTTGGCTACCCTTGGAATTGCATTTCTTGGAGTCACTTTCTTGAGTAAGAATTTATCCAAGATGAGGAGATAAAAGAAAGATATATTTTCTTTAATGGTCGCAGTTGAATCCTCAACTCTTATAGATTTGGAGAATACTCTTGTATTTTTTGAATGATCTCGTGGGACACCATCTACTGCTGCAGGACTGGACTCCCCTAAGGTCGACCCATTGACATTAATTTTCCACGACTCCATGGAGGAGACCAAGTGGTATGGGGCTGTGGAGTGGGTCGGGGCTTGCCAATGGACAGTAAAGAGGAGTCCAAACATAGTAAACCATACTGGTGACACGTGTCGTTCTGTCTTTACCACGTGTGCTTCTGTCAAACGCTTCACTCGCTTAGTCACTCCCTCTGGTCTTCATCTCTCGACAATTTCCACTTTCCCAGCAGCCAAACATAGAATATTCCACGGTTTCTCTCTCTCTCTCATTTTTCAAAATTTCATTTTTCTCATGTTTCTGTTTAGATGGAGAGAAAAATTTAACAAATTTACATTCTTTTCCAGTGCAGGTATCTGATCAGGCAAGCTAATAGCTAAAAATCAAGACAAAAGGTATTTTTTTTTGCCCATATATTTTAGCATGACTAGCTTGGGATATTTATTTTTTCCTTGTAATGTGGAAGGAAGCAATTTTAGTTAAAAAAAAATACAAGTTGTAGCCTTTAGAACTCAATCTAATTGCTCTGAAAAAGATTATTTAATCCTGTGCTATAAGATTTGTTGTCATAATGTTTCCTATTGTACGCCTAAAAGATTGCATTTTCCTTGAAACTTTGGAGTTAACATACTATGTGGTAGGGTGGAGGGTATCATTCTAACCTTCATTTTGTCAAAACTATGCCCAAAATGGTATATGTTAAAGATGATGGTATGCTACTTTGAATCTTGTATCCTCCAAATTGAAAAGTCACTCCCTTTGTTTTCTCATTTTGGTATTCTTTTTAGGATGGCAATTTTAGAGGAATCAGTTGTGAATTGGAAGATTTCTCCGCCAAATTCATATGGAGCTGTAGTTCTTGGCGGTACCTTTGATCGCTTACATGATGGTCATCGCCTCTTCCTTAGAGTAGGCGTTTTCTATCTCTCTGGTGGTTCTGTTTTTATTTTGAATCTTTCATATAAACACATAAGAGTTCTAAACAAGTATTGCATTGTCAATAGTCGTCAGCTGAGTTGGCAATGGATCGGATTGTGGTTGGAGTTTGCGATGGTCCAATGTTAACAAATAAACAGGTAAACAACATGTTGATTGTTTTATGTCAAGATATTTAATAACCTAATAGTAATAGTAATGTGAACTGGTATCATAGTATGTGGTAGTTGTCCTTTCCATTTTTCATAAATGAATACTTTTCATTTTGAAAAACGATCAGAAAAATCGGAGTATCAATTCATGTAGCTTAACTGAACATAAAATTGTGGTACAATAAATCACAGTTTACATCTTAAATCCATGACGGCTTATATAAAAATTCCTGGTCTAGACTCTATCTCTGATGCTACTCCAGCTGAGACATTGATCTTCTATGCATGTATTCTATCATTGCATGAGATAAAGGTTGCCATTTGAGATAACCAAAATCCTATGCTTTATTTTCATTTCAGGCTGCAGAACAAAATTGCATAATATTTTTTCATTTGTTTGTGTAGTTCTCCGATTTAATACAGCCCATTGAGGAAAGGATGCATAATGTTGAAAGTTACATAAAGGTAATTAATGAAGGAATGTGTTGTGTGTGTCTTGCATGCTCAATTAGAAACATGTGCTTATTTGGTTATTGCATTTTGTTTCCGTGATCATACTGGGATAGTTTTCTAACTCAACTGAAGTTAGGTTTTCTATGGCAGCTTGTTGTGAGGCTACATAATGTAGCTGAGATGGCAGGAATTAAGTGGTTCATGTGTTCCCTAGCTTACCTCTCATTGTGTCTGAGTGTCAGCTTGATGACACTGCAATTGCCTTCTGTCTAAAGTTTTATATCTATTCCAGTAAGAGTTAAGAGTGAAAGGAGTAACACATGGACCATCACTCTTGCAACATCAGATGCAATGTATCATATAACCAAACATGAGGTCTTTTGCAAAATGTCTGCTGAAAATCTTTTACTTGTCTTTGCATAGTCTTCAATTTGTTTGTCTTCCTGCAGTTGATGAAACCTGAGCTGGTTGTGCAAGTTGAACCAATTACAGATCCTTATGGCCCTTCAATTGTTGATGAGAAATTGGATGCCATTGTTGTCAGGTTTGTTATTGAATATCATGTTTCTAGTCTTGTAACATAAAGCTACAGAGCGTTTTTTCTTTTGAAGTTGTTTAAATATGAAGTGGTTTTAGATTTAGCTGTATGATGTTTGACCTGTTAGCAGGCCTTTTGAGCCTTTAATGCGTGTCTTGTGAGATGGACGCATTTTCACTTAGTGCTTTACTGATTCTTGCAATTTTACTTCTCCTTTCTGGATTTTTCCCACTGGGATTTATTTTATAGTCTACTGAAAGAATGATCTGGCTTTGTTAATGCAAGCTGAAACTCCAAGGGGTATGGTACTGTTTTCATCACCTAAGGAACCGCAGACTTGACTGGTTTTAATTTTCTGCAGCAAAGAGACAGTACCAGGTGGAATATCAGTCAATAAAAAGCGAGCTGACAGAGGCCTTTCACAACTGAAGGTTAGAATTTCTGGTTTTTATTCATGTGATTTATATATTTTTTCGATATTAGTTCTGAAGTTGAAGCAAGTTTATTCGGACTTATTTGAAAATAATCACAAGGAATTGGCTATAACATCATGGAGTTTCTGCAGATTGAAGTTGTAGATCTAGTTTCCGAAGAGTCTAGCCAAGGCAAGCTGAGCTCAACAACATTAAGGAAGCTTGAGGCTGAGAAGCCCAAAAATCAACAGTCTGGGTAAGCTGACACTGGAAAGCCAATGTTGGGAAGGCTAGGAAACCATTTTTGAAGGTTTTAGCACAGTGTGCAGAAGACACAGTCTTCGAGTCACTGCAGCTTCATGGATATACCGAGAATTTCCATACAATAAAAGCATTAAGCTTTCTTCTTCAAAGAACTACCCTATGTAATATCTTTGAGTTCTGTACATACTCTAATCACATTCTGCAATGTGATGTTATTTTCTTTCATAATTATGACGTCTCAAGAGCTAGCAAACTTTGTAGCCACAAGGGGAAACTTTTTCCAAGTTTGGGGGAGAGGATTGCCACCTGTTACCCAGACCAAATATCTCACAGACATAATTATTCATGATTATCTATAGATTTAAAGGATGAACTGGTCAAGAATAAGTGAGATTGGATGATGTCAATGATTGAAGCATAACTTAATATTTGTTTTTAGTACAATTTAATTACTAGAAGAAAAGTAATGAAAAGACATTTTAGTGAGGGAGCCTTCTTAAGATGAGCCTTTCCCAAATGTTGACAGTCTAATCTGGTAGATATCAACTTGAAAATGACTATATAAAACTAATGATCATACTTAACTTGTATAAATTATAATTATCCTTAGATCAGTAAGATGCTGACAAGGCAGAAAACAAAACTTTTCTTTATTTTCTCCATTTATTATTATCTTTTCTTCATTTAGACGTTTTTGACTTAATTATATCATCCCTTTCGTTTTATAGGTGGCAAAATCTGTTTCGAACTCAAAATCCTGACTTAACTTATCCGAAATCGAATCCGATTATAATATTATCTTCATTATGTTAAACTAAAAGATTTAATTAATAATCGGTTATTTAACTATTAATTAAATGAATACGCGACAATCATATAAACCCATTAATGAAGTTTAGGAAGTTTTTAATCAATGTATAAAATAAACTTAACATAAAATTTAAGAAAACTTATAAAGGTGAGACTTTTAGGATTTTCGACGCACTATTAGAATAAGAATATTTTATGTTTTTAATTTTTTTTCTATTTTCAAAGTTGTAAGTAGGTAAAAATAGCATAAGATTTCTTAATCTTTATTATTTATTTCTATCACATTAATTGTGCATTATGTGCTATAAAAAAATTATTTGGGACCCCAAAGAGAGTTGAACCCCTTTGGTAGCTTAATGAGGGTTTTACTTAAAAAAAAAAAATTAAAGGAATCTTTGACCTTAATGATACCAAAATATTGATGTGGGTAACATGACTTGATGATTATGATTTCAATGAAAAAATAAAGCCAATAATTCCTTTTAATAAATTTGCTCCATTAATTAATTGGGGTCAACCCCATGAGAAGAGTAAAGAAGAAAAGAACTCATGATAATGTAACCCTAATAATAAAAAAATAAAAAAAAACTAATGGAGCAGTGTGGAAAGATTCAAACTTTGAATATTAATCTTTGATTAAAGAAAGAATGAACTTTGAATTAAACATTTTGTAAGCAATTTATGGACTTATTAATTAAATAAAGTAATGAAAATAGACGAAATTGTAAGTATGTCCATTAAAAAATTAATCAAATTTTATGGATATACATTCTTTTTTTGACATTAATATTGAGTGTATCATTTTTATGAAATTATGACGCAATTATGATGCGACTCATCTTAATTCAAGAACCGAATAATCTATAGTTATCTTATCCTACTTTTTTTTTAAAAAAAATTAAATACTCCAAAGTACCATCGATATAGTTTGTCGTGTATGTGTGAATATGTTATGACGTGACTCATCTTAATTCAAGAACCGAGAAATATATAACTACCTTATCCTAATTTTTTTTTAAAGTGCTCCAAAGTACTATCAATATTGATCGCGGTGTTTATATGTGAACATGTTGACTAATTTTATGAAAAGTCTTTTTTTTTACGATAGTATCGAATATAAGATTTTTATAAAATTATAATAAAATTATGATGTGATGCATCTTAATTTAAGAGCCGAGTAATCTAAAATGATCTTATCCTATTTTTTTAATTAAATATTCCAAAATACGATCAATATTGCTTGTGGTATATATGTGAACGTGTAGTCCTTAGCTTTGTTTGGAAGGAATTAAAAGAGAAGTATTTGTAAAATTAAAGTTTTGATTAAATAAATTGATGGTGTTGAAAAGAAAAAGAATTAATAAAGAAAATGTCGAATGCATGTGGCAAAAACATGGTCGGTGGGCATGCAGAGATTTTGTGGCCAACTAATTTCCAGATGGTCCCAATTCAAGATTACAATGTAAAATATGTATATTGAGACCCACCAAGCTATAAATATAATGTATTTATTTATTTTTAGACCACAAATTTAATTATTTTTATTTATTTATCAAGGAGTTGGTAAAATAAATTTAATCTTTTGAATTTAAAAGGACGAGATCAAACGATAATCTTTACAACCTTTTGAATCTAAAAGAAATTGGGATTGAAGAGCAAATTATGTGTGGACAGGTTGATAGATTTAGAGAAAAGTGATTGGTTGAATCTTTAAATCCTATCCAACATTAGGAATGATATGTTTCCTTTTACCTTAGTGGAGGTAACAATTAGAATATTCAAAATATTCCTTTTAGATCCTCAAAATTTGATAAAAATAATCTTCAAAATTTTATGAAAATATTATTATTTCTTGAGACACATGACGTATAACTAATTATGATTTTTTTTAAACAAGGGAATGTTAATTAATTAAAATCACAAATTTTAAACGTCGGGTGAAAATTTTATTTTTTATTATTTTTGATAAATTGTTTATGATATTATGAATTAAATTATTTATATAAAGAATAAATTTAGCAGTAAGTTAACTTCATAATCATTGCAATTTGGTGAATTTTTCTTTTTTACCTTTTTAGAAGGAATTTTAAAATTATGAATTTATCACCATCTTATAATATATGAATTTGTTTTAAATTAAAATGATCTAATCATCAAATGTTTATTTAAGCTTCAAATATGTGAACTTCAAATTAAAAGTTTTTAATTATTTTTATTTTTTTATATTTTTAACTTGAAAATTAAAATTTTAAATATAAAAAAAATAAAAGATGATATTGATCACAAATAAAAGTGTCCACATGAAAAAGGGGTAGGAAAAAATGGTTCCTTTTTCTATATTATTAACCTTTTAAGTATTTTCTTATTCTATTAAATTTTGACATGTCATCACTTAAGATAAGCAATAATTTGCTACAAAATTTAATCCTAGTAACCTACTCAATAAAGTAGATTTAAAGCTTTGGTGGAGTTAAAATTGATTGAAGGACAACTTTTTCACCTTATTGGATTAAAATCCTTTTCCATTTTAGTAAAGTGGTTCATTTATTGTTTAACTAAATCACAATCTGTCTATTCATTCATGAGATTTTTAAGAAAAAAAAAGGGAAAATAAAAAAAAGAAGGAAACCAATATAAGAAAAATAAAAGATAAATTAAAAATATAGTTTCGATATTTTTTTTAAATTATACAAAAAAATAATAATCATTCGAATTTTCAATTTTGTTATCGCTTATAATGTCAATTTTGAATAATATCTATAATTTCACTTAAAATAATATTAACTTTGGTTGTAAACGCAATCATCATATCATATTTTTGTAAATTATTTACATTGATATGACTGAGTCATGTTTAAAAATTGTTGCCACTGAGATACAACATCATGTATGATTCGTTTCTTGAATTTTGTTTGTCCCTCTATGAACTGTTTATATTAGAGTCAAATGGAAATATTAGAATAGGGAGAAGACTGGTAGTAAATTAGGAAAGTAGGAGTTAAAAGGGAGGAATTTGAAACATTGAAGCAGTAAAGAAGAGGAGACCAAAGTGGGTCAGTTACACACGTTGTGTTCAGGCAATTCCATGTGCCCACATGGATGATTGGAGACTCAACAAACTCTCTCTTTCTCCTTCTTCTTCTTCTTCTTCTTCTGCTGCCTCTTCTTTTACATCAACAACAAGAAGAACAAACAACAGCAAGAAGTAACAAGCATGTCTTTGTTTTTAAGTTATAACTACTATAAGAACTACCCATAACGTATTATTAAGCATCACCCTCATTTCCCTTCGTTTTCTTTGATTCCGTGTTGAAAGTTTTAATCTTTTCAAAAAGTATGAAGGAAAGCAGTGATGGGTTTGTTAGAGCAGATCAGATTGATCTGAAGAGCTTGGATGAGCAGCTTGAGAGGCATCTTAGCAGGGTTTGGACCACTGACAAGAGCAAGAACAAGAGAGATGATGATGGTGATGGTCATGTTGATGATGATGATGGAAAGCTCAAGCTTGCTCCCAGTAGCACCAATAAGGCTGCAACTTTTGTGAACAAGGAGAGACAGGAGTGGGAGATCGACCCTTCCAAGCTCATCATCAAAACTGTCATCGCTCGTGGTACCTTTGGCACTGTTCACCGTGGCATTTATGATAGCCACGATGTTGCTGGTTAGTTTCTCTTTTGAATCTCCAGTGCAAAGTACTTCCTTTTCTTTAACATATTTTTTTCTTGAAAGGCTTATCCCCCCTCTTTTTTTTTTTTGAACGAAATTATTGACTATTTTAAGTTGTTAACAGATATTCAGTTGGTTTTCTGTTTGCATTAGTGAATATATCAGTTAATTTGTGAAATTAGGGACCGTTTTTTTCCTTGAAGGGTATTTTACTTCTGAGAGGGGCCAAAATCAAGTGTTTTTTCCAAGGATTATTCTCCTTTTTGTTTGCAATATTGGACCAGGTGGACTACTATGATACTTGTTATTGCTGTTTGAGGTCCCTTCATAGTTCAATAGCCTTAATGTTGCTATGTTATTATGGGTTATTTATTTGGATCCATTTAGTAGAATTCTGGTTTTCGTTTAGCAGTTGACTGTTATGGTGATGTGGTGATTGGCAGTTTTAAATGTAGTCTTACAAAATCCGTGACTCTGCACGGGTTTGGGTTGAATTTGCTGGTTCCAGCATCAGCAACTTGGATAATGTTGTTGTAATAATTAACTTTTCATGTGATCCTAGCTGTTAGTTAATATTATGGAAATAAAAAATGTATAAATCTGAAAAGAAAAAAATTATACTGTCAAATGAATTTCATAGCTGGAAATTGTAATTCCAGTATGTTATTTGCTCATTATGTTAATAATACAGCCGCTTATCCTAACCAAGATAAGATCTATTTGATTAATCTGGTTATATCTTATTACAAATCTCTATTTGTTTTACTACAATGGTTTTTGGTGCCTTTCTTGGTCCTCAGTGAAGCTGCTTGACTGGGGTGAGGAGGGCCACAGGACAGAAGCTGAGATTGCCTCATTAAGGGCAGCTTTCTCGCAAGAAGTTTCCGTGTGGCATAAACTTGAGCATCCCAATGTTACAAAGGTCAATTTCTAATTTAGCAGAAGCTTTTTTTTTTATCCTTTTTGTGTGAAGACATTTGTGGGCGGATTTTGGAAAGCCTGGGCTTTTTGCATAAATGCTTGGAAATTTTCTTTCTGAAACCATTACTCAACTGTGATAAAGTGCTTAAGGAATCCTCCACCAAAAGGTCACTAGTATTGCTGTTAATGTCTTCACAGGCGGAACATCTATAAAGTGATGGATTGCAGTAATATTATCAAAGCTATCACCTGTTTCTGGCACCATAATAAAAATCTCCAAACTCCTCCAGCCCCAAATAGAAAGAAATGCACACCCGACATGCACAAAACTGATGACCAACTACCACAGATGCATGGCTTGAGGAGATACCTTCTGTCTTCTCATTTTCTAGTAAATGGTTCTCCACAACTTAAAATTGCCAATAGTTAAGTTATTGATACAAATTAAAATGCTGTGAGAAAATACATCCCTCACCATATTTGGTAATGACCTGTTGTGCCACAAAGAATTTTAGTTTCCTTGAATCAAATCTTTCCTATTGGACTTTTTTTCTTTTAAGAGGTTGAGGTAGCACTTGTTTACCTTGCTTCCCTTTCCTTCTCCCGTCTCTGTTTTCTTTCAAGAGATTGAAGTTCACATTCTATATAATACACGAAAAAATTTGGTATGTTGTAGATGATTGTCATTTCCATATAATCTTGGACACTTCAAAGTATAACTTTAAATATGAACTAATTCATTGAGAAAGCTAAAATGCCTGGAAGAGAAATACTCTTTCTAATTATTTATATCTGTTGCTGCATAACTGTGCACTCATGTGAGATGGACTTGATTATATTTACTTTATTGGCAAACCTTTTTTAGATAGGTGGTTGCCCATGGCTCTCTTGATTCCCTGCCCTCATGATTTTTCCCCTCAGAACAAGGCCATTTAACATGTATTCAGCTTTTGGAAACTCTTCTCATGCCTTCATGATTCGTGGTGGTTCTCTTTTGGTTTAGGAATCCTTTCCCTTTTTGGGGTGTGTTGTTGGGGGATTGTTGTTTTGGACGACAGGGAGAGGATCAGGGAATGTTTTCAGAATTAAATCCCACCAAGAATTTGCTTCTGCTTGTACTGATATATTAATATGAAATTATCCAAGATTGCCAAAATCTCCATGATCTCTTCTTCAGAAGACTTAATATTTCATAGCATCAATTATTTTTTTGTTTCCATCTACTAGCTTCCCCTTCTATAATCGCATATGTTATTCCTCTTCATAAACTAGGAAAGGAAAAATTAGGTAAAATAAATTTTCCTTTTGTCTTTGGAATTAAGTTTTATTAATCGAAAACTTCCTTGAATCAATGAGTCTGTTGGAGTCAGGGTTATTGGTTGAGTGGCAGTATCTACTGCTTTAGAGTGATTATGAAATGCAACTAGACTAATTGGACATAAATCCAGGGGTTTATGTCACCTACTCGTAGTGCTTTAGGATTTAGAAACAGCTTGGATATCTAGGAAGCTCTGTAGTGTATATTTTCTGGCAGAGAACATCACTGTTTTAGCTATGGTTGTTGAGCCTCTAGGTAGATTCTTATTCTTACTAATTCTTGTTTATCCCTTTCCAGTTTATAGGGGCAACAATGGGCTCATCAGGGCTACAAATACAAACTGAGAATGGTCAAATGGGCATGCCAACTAGTGTGTGTTGTGTTGTTGTGGAATATTTACCTGGTGGAGCTCTGAAATCTTATCTTATAAAGAACAGGAGAAGGAAGCTAGCTTTCAAAGTGGTTGTTCAACTTGCGCTTGATCTTGCTAGAGGGTACTCTAACCAATGTCCCATTTTCATTGACCAAAAAAAAAAAAAACCTTTTGTCCCATTTTCTGTTTGTTTCTTTTCTTTATTGTATTGTGGTTTGACAGCCCAAGCATGTTTTGAAATTTTCTCTGGCTTAGAGGGGTGTCTATCATTTTTGTAGGTTGAGTTACCTTCATTCACAGAAGATTGTCCACAGAGATGTAAAGACAGAGAACATGTTGTTAGACAAGACACGCACGGTAAAAATTGCTGATTTTGGGGTTGCTCGTGTTGAGGCTTCAAATCCTAATGACATGACTGGAGAGACAGGAACCCTTGGTTACATGGCTCCAGAGGTATGGAGGTTATTGCCATTTCAATTTTACTATTTTCATGCAGGACTCTGAAATGAAACTTCAAGGTTTTTTTTTTGGAATGTGAGTTGGTTTTTCTTTTGGATTTTATAGTATAATTAATGGTATCGTAGGCCCAAGGGATGAATGATACATGCTTGAATATTTATCATGAAGTGAACACCTTATAACATCATTAAAAAAAGACAGCTCCTGTTGAAACTATTTTATTTGATTTAATGATGGGAAGTTTTTGCTTTGGAGCTTTTTGAGTGAATGTGATGGTATTAAATCTGTAACTTTAATGTTTCAGCTAATTAGAGAGAAGGTGAAAGAAAAGGGTAAAAATTGTTGATTGAATGATTAGTAACTCATCAAATGGGAGGTTTACAGGTTCTCAATGGCAACCCATATAACAGGAAATGCGATGTGTACAGTTTTGGCATCTGTTTATGGGAGATATATTGTTGTGACATGCCATATCCTGATCTTAGTTTCTCTGAAGTGACTTCAGCTGTGGTTCGCCAGGTATTCCATTGGCCCCTATCCTTATAATTTTGCTTTCCTGTCCTTCTTTGGTTTTCCCCCTAGAATGGAGCATTATTGCTTGTGTCATATTATGAAATATTTGCACCTTAGACCCCATTTCCTGGCTTTTTCATTGCTAATTGTCCTGATATTAAAAACACAGAATTTGAGACCAGAGATACCGAGATGTTGCCCCAGTTCTCTAGCAAATGTAATGAAACGATGTTGGGATGCTAACCCTGACAAGCGGCCTGAAATGGATGAGGTAGTTTCTATGCTGGAGGCCATAGACACATCAAAAGGTGGAGGTATGATTCCTGTCGATCAACAGCAGGGCTGTCTTTGCTTCCGGAGGTATCGAGGGCCTTGAAAAATTACTCCATGATGCAGCTAAAAGATTGTGAGACTTTATTTTAAAGTTAGAGAGGTCCCAGTTTGTATTTACTATGAAAAAGCAAAACAACAATCAGATACCAAGCTGAGAGGAAAAGGTGGTGGTGGGTATAGGCTCAGGAGCTGTGCTACATTTCACTTTGTCGAATGATGTAAAGCTTTTCCCTTTGTTATTTTCTCTTATAATTTTTTAAGGGGTTCCCCATATCTGTGTATTTACTCGATTTGCCAGTCTGGTTGTGGACTGGCCCCCCCTCCACCCCTTTTGTAAGATAACTCTTTATACGCTTAAGTAATAATCAACATTATTAAAGTTGATCTATATCAGCTGGTATGGTGTCTGGCTTCTGCAGAAGCATGGTGGATTGTTGTTTTAGCCTCTATCCTCGTAAGATATCTGTCTGCTTCTTTCTTCTTGTTTCTCCCCACAAGTTTGCTTTGCTTATGCAAACCATTTTCTCTCATTTCTAGATGTTGTGGGATTACCAAAATAGGTAGAAATCCCAAGGACTCAGTAAATGAAGAGAAGAAAGGCTAATGTTTGACAACCAAAGAACCAGGTCGACCATTTACCAACATCTCTTGGAACACAGTTCGATTCATGCTTGATACAAATATTTAACACAGAGATGCAAGCGTTTGTATCTATCTATACAAAAAGGAATCAACTGACAGGAGAAAGAAGAGCCAAGACCAGGACCAAACAATAAAACCAGAAAACTTGATGGTGTGATCAAACGTCTGGAAGTTGAACTTCTCTAGGTGGTTCATCGTCCCAATTGGTCGTTCTGTAGTAGGTTGCATAAAGTATGAGCTGCAACAAGCCTAACAGGGATCCCATCCCATTTGGAACCTACAAATGCGTTAAAAAAATGAATTTTTTTTATTATTTATATGTCGGAGATTGTATAATTGAAATAGTGAAAAAACAAATTTCATATTTATTAATTTAAGAATATCTTTAAACATAAATATAGTATAAGATTATCTTCAACTATCATACGGTATCAAAACCTGTGATAAGTTTATGGTTCTTACACAAAAATTGACCGTTATAGTTATCCTCATTCATGTCACTAGTTAATTTTAGATTGAATATCCTTGTCATAGAGTACTACTTACCAGGATATAAGGATCAAACTCGAGTGATGCATAAACCACCCAAACAATGCCATTCAAGAAGTTAAAAAGAGAGAGATAAAACGGCATGTACTTCACACTCTTTGTCCTGATCACCAATTTCTACCGAAAGTGAAGGAGTTAAATACTTTAAAAATATGCAGAAAACAAGCAGATTTCGTCTGCTAATTCATGGTTAAAAAAAAAAGAAGGTAAAAATTCACCTACCATGACTGTCAATGGGGACGAATACATGATTACATTGAAGATAATGGCCAATATTCCTACAATCCCAGACCTTATCTTGGTAGTGTGAAAGAAAAATAGGGTAATGAAAATCACAACCGCCATGAATATGACTTCGATTACAAGAGCTAAAGCAATCCTCCTCTGCAAACGAAAAGAAACCAAAACAACTAAAGTAATTGATGGATTTGAGAAATGTTATGTTGATACAGAAACATTTACGTACTCGCTTGCTCCAAGGGGAGTAGATGAAGAAGATGGCGACGTAGGCGAGCTCTATGACAAGACCTATGCCATTGATCGTAACGACCAACAGGCTGTCGGGATGGACGTAAGGGAGACCATAGAAAACCCACACCATGCAGTTCAGCACGGTTGCTATGTATGGATCGGGCTTGAACTCCTGCACCGATTTAGCTTTCCATATTTTAACAAATGTTGGTCTGCAAAAATCAGCTTAACAAATAATTAGTCGGTGAATTAAAATTCGATTATGTTAATTAAGTTTCCAACAAAGAGATCATGGAGTGAGTAGTGCCTACGTTGGGGACAGAAACAGGAAAAAGGAGATCACATTACCTGAGAAAACAAAGAAATACAACGTAAAAGTAAGTTAGAAAATTCACGTAACATTTTGTTATAATTTAGGCCATGATCTGTGTTTAAACTTCGTGACATTCGTTTCTTACAATATTAGTTTAGGCCATGATCAGTTGGATTAAAGTAGTATTGAGAAAAGGGTTTTGCAAGGACTAACCGATGATCCCTACGATGGTTCTAATAAGCCCTATGGCCACCATTTTTTACAGCTCTGGAGATGAAAAAAGTGCAGCTGGAGAAAGAAGAAAAGAGTTTTGCAAGCTCTGTGAACTTGTTGTCAATGGCTAGAAGTGTAAGCCATGTGACTAAATTAAGCAAATAATTAATCCGAATATAGCGAAAAAGATGAGTAAAGATTGGTCATACGCAATTAACGTTGGAGCTTTTTCATGCAAGCAAATAGAATCCATGCAACGGATTAATGCATCACTCTACCGATAAGGAAGCTGACGTGTTTTGTTTGCTTGGTGTTAATCTCACCCTTCCATGCTTGAATTCATTTATATTTTTTTAATTTTAGTTTTTTATTTAAATAATATTCAGTAACAATTTCACAAAAATCACATATTTATACAATTAAAATTTTTAATTTTTCATACTCTTGTGTATCGATATAGAAAGATATATTGTATACATTAGAGTGAAATTTTTAAAATTTATAAATGGGTCGTTTTGATTTATTTTCTTCCAACATCGAATAAAAAATAAAAAAGAGAGAATTTAAAAAATATAGATTAATTATGAGTATATACTAGGTAGCTAAACTTTAAAACCCCAAGAAAGAACAAGGGCATAAATGGACTATTGCCACATTTCACCCAAATGTGACAAAAATTGACATAAGTTGGTTGAAAAAGTTTCGAAGTGTAACTCGTTCAATAAAAATAAATATATGTTATTATTGAATCAAATATTTAAATATAATAAATAAATTTTAATTGAACGAAATTCAGATTCATAATGAGAAATTGATGTTAATAAAAAAAGTAAAATAAATATATATGAAAAAGTGTTTTGAAAGTATTAATAATAAAAAAAAATTGAATCTCCAACCAGCAAAGGGAATCATTTCATTATTTTTGTTTCTACAATTAAGTTGGAGAATCGGCGCAAAAAATAAATAAAAAATAAAAAAAATTGGGGTGGCCATCTTTCTCATGGTTGTGTTGGTTTTAATTTCATGTAGATGTTAGGGACACAATCATATTATAGAGTGGATCATTGTTATAATTAAGTTATGGACAACCATGATTCTTTATGTGATAATATATTTCATTTTCATTTTAAAATATATTATAAATTAAATGGTGACGAAGATGATAAGGATATTGATTATATTTTTTTAGTTTTTAATACATTATGAAAATTCTTTATTGTTTTTTTAAAAATACATAATATTTTAACAAATCTTGAAATTACTTAAAAAAATATAAATAAAATTTAATTTTTTATTACGTTTAATTTTCATTAACCAATTGAAAACAATAAAAGAGTACGGACTGAAATTTCTTAATAATTTAAAGGGATTTTTTTTTTTAAAGCCGATTCTAAAGCAAATGCCCAATATGTATGGCTTTGATTGGGAAAGCAGTCTGCTTCATTATTTCACTAGCCAGCTATATATTTTGATATAATAATAAGGAATTGGAAAATGATGGTAAATATATCTTAAAGCAACATCATCCCTTTTTATGAATTTCTTTTTGAATGCTGTAGTGCTTGCTGTATGGAGACCATGTCAACCAAGGTAATCATTGATGAACATTAACTAATTAACACAAATTTTAAGTTAATAATAATAATGTATGTAAGGGGATATATTAGATTATATTGTATTGTATGCAGATAAAAAACAAAATCAAGGTTCAATGTGTAAACTTCCCTTGTATTTGTCTATAAAAGGTCAGCATTATTGGTCAGCTTCAGATGGCCTTTGAAGTTTAACAATACAAAAGTACAGCTCCTGCACGCATTTTAACAATTGACAAAATGCCATTTTTCAGTGTCTGAGCCCACCAAACCTGTCAGACCTCATTGAACACATGTAACTAGTAAGTACCAGGCCTTGGTCTTTCCTCTAAGCCTTTCTTCTGCTTCAGACTATTCAACCTCTTACAGGAAATAATGATCACCACATTCTGAATTTTTGAGAAATCAATGACACTTCTTGTTCTCTCAATGCTTTCAGCTTTTCTGCCTGTTGCAGTTGGCAAGAACAGAATGAGAGCTGGATAATTGTGTTGGAACTTATTGTCATGAGTAGGTGAGAGAGATTTCGTGGGAAAATCTGTTTGGAAATTTGTACAACTGGTAGTATATGGTTATGGAAATTGTCTTCTCTGTGGTACTCTTATTTGTGGGAGTTGCAGTTTTGGTGGTGATTCATGTCTGTATTGTTGGGAGGGCATTCAGGAGAGAGTTTGAAGATGGCGGCTTGGTCCAAATAAGCAGCAACAATAGAGCCAAAAAGATGTCGGATGAGGACCTGAAGAAGCTACCTAGCTTTGACTACAAGGCAGCTGAGAAAGGGAGCAGCCCCGTGGATTGTGTTGTTTGCTTGGAGAATTTCAGGAAAGGTGACAAGTGCAAATTGTTGCCAAACTGCAGGCACAGCTTCCATGCTCAATGCATAGACTCCTGGCTGTTGAAGACATCCATTTGTCCGATCTGTCGAACTTCTGCTGATCCATCAAAAGTTGGGATGATCTTGGGAGAGGAAAGAGGCGTTTCAAGCCATGATGGAGTTGAATTAGCGTAGAGCAAAAAAAAAAAAAAACCTCTCCTGTTTGGGACTGAATTGAGCTCTAACATATTCATTCTGCAATGCAGATGTGTGGTTCCAAGCAGTTCTTTTTTCTGCAATTTTTTTTTCCAGTGAGTTGTAGATTACTTTCACTAAGATATTTACCCTTTTTAATTTCATGCAGTAACAGTTTCAGGTAAGAGTTTGCTTTTGACAAATCAAATCCATTACTATATGATTCCTGTTCTAACCCATCAGGTCATGGTGTTCTTTTCTTGGGTGATAACCCTTCAATGTTAATTCGAAGTTACAAATCTACATGTCATAGAACTGATGTTACCGGAGTTTTTTTTTTTTTTTT